CTTTTTATCTTTTCCTTGGTGGTAAGCCCCAACTCCGTTTCCAAACCATCCCTTTGCGCCCGCAGTTCCGTTAAGCGTTCCTGAAGGGCTTCTGCTTCCGCTTGGGCAGCTTCCCTTTCCCCTTCAGTGCGCCCTTGGTCCGCGGCTGCTTCCTGCTGCCTTTCCAGCTGCGCCTCCATATCTTCGTAAGCCTGCGTTGCCTGCCTAAGCTGCTCCTCCGTTACGACGATTTGCGCGTTTAACTCCCGTTCTTTCATCACAGAAGCTTCCAACTGTGCGCCCACGCGTCTGAGTTCGGCGTCTCTGTCCCCAACGTCTGCAACTGCACGGTCGAAGTTCCTTCTAGCCTTATCCCTTTCATGTAACAACATGCTGATGCGCTGCTTATTGTCCTCGCTTTCCCGTTCGTGAGAATCCGACATCGTTTGATATTGCTTCATGTATTCCTCCTCCCTTTCGTCCATCGTCTGTTTTAAATATTCGACGTGCTCGGCCGCTGCTTCTAGTTCGGCGGTTTTTTCGTCTAATTGCTCCGTAAGTTCGTCAAGCTGTTCCCTGTGTTTGTTTATGAGTTCTTGCTGCGTTTTTTCTTCCATGTCGAGGGATTCTAAAGACTGCTGCAGCTGCAAGGCAGCGCTGCTGCCCGACGGCGTACTCGTTAGCTTTTCCTCTATGTTTTCCTTGGTAGCTCGTATTTTTGCGAGCTTTCCTTGATCCTTATCCAGAATTCCGGAGATGGCGCGCATTTGACTGGTAGCCTTAGGACTGCTAAGACCTTTGAAGAATTGCGAAGCTAACCTTGATGTTTCCTTACTAGTTAAGCTGGACAGCACGGATAAGTCAGGTCTACCCAGTGCTGTCGTTATTTCCTTTGGAAGGGCATTGTTAAGTGCGTTAGACTTTTTGCTTTGATAAAAGTCATACCATCTTTCCCTGCCTACGTATCGGACTTGTATTTGACCCTTGTTTCCCCTTTGGAACTCTAAAAGAGTCGAGCTTGCTTTAGGATATCGCTTTCGTATGTCGGCTAGGAGCTTGTCGTCCGTTGTTCTACCTATGGCCTCCTTCAAAGTTGGAGGTATTTTAGGGTCGGCAAAGAACCTTCCTTTTTCATTACGGATGACGTAAACCTTAGCGCCGCTTCTCGCAAGCCTACCCATAATTACTTCCCTACCGTATTCATCTTCTTCGAACATTAGCTGTGCTTTCTTAGGATCCCAATCGGGTAATAGTTCTTGAAGCCTGTCGAAGTCGTCCGGGGTTTCTTCCATGGATTCGTCCATTTCTCGTTGGACTTTTTGGAGCCATTCGGCGCTGGGAGCTTCAGGAATCGGCCCTAAGTCTTCCATTCGCATGTACTCGGGAAGGGATTTGCCGGGATTCCTACTACTCCACTTTCGTCCAAGGGAGCGCAAAGCATCGCGGGCCCTGCTGCCATATTTGCGTCTTAGCTTATCAAAAAGGCCTCGTGAGTTTACGTTGTCATCGGGAAGCAAAGACTCGTATTCTTCGTCATTAATATCAACTTGACCTTCTTCGGTGGTGGGGTCGAAATCCGTTCCTTCTACTTCCATTATATATGATAAGCTCAAAGTTAAA